TTCTGTCCATAGCTACATACAAGTAAATCCAGAGCAACACTTCTGACGTCACACTGTTGGAGTAATTCTTTTGGACTATACATGGATTAGAATCCTGTTTCAGTATTTCCTTACTTTACCCTTTGAGGAGAAGCCTGAAGCTGCTGGTCTGTCAAATCTGCCAAACTGACATCTTCTTGAGAAGACAAGTGGGATGTATATAATCTTAGTAGGATCTCTTCTTATATTACCAAGTTAGGTTAAATTAGGTTAGCTTAGGGTCTCTGCAACTACCAAGCCAGGCTCTGTCTCTTCATCAGTGTGTCTTGAGTAGTCATTCACACCTGTACAAAGTGTACCTAAAAGACTGCCATTCTGCCTTGGTATCATTTTGCATCCTTTCCCCTCACTTTGCACAGCTATAAAAGACTATGCAAAGTGCAGGACTCTGGGGAAAAAGATCCATGATAGATTAGACATTAACGACTGAAATGGATACCACACTGGGGAAGGATCACAATGTATCAGATAAACAGGAATTAACTGGAATCTATTATACATTCTGGCAAATATACTTTTCATAATTTATGCATGGTATTGACATCATTGCCAACACATCACATGTATTTTGTTAATAATTGTTATCGCTTGCTTTTGCATTTAGACAAAAGCTTATTAAATGTAAATAAGATGTATTCCTTGTGCCTAAGATTTTGAAGTGGGCAAGATGAGAGATTGAATTTGGATGGCTTGCAGCTGCTCAGAGAGCTGGTACATTTCCCTGATAGCTGTATTCTGCATTCCAGAACCTAAGCATCCTTTGTTGAATTCTCAGCATTATCTCTAGTCCTTCTGATTGCAAAGAAATCCTTTGTAAATATGAACAGCATAACAAATTTACTAATGACTGCCTGAGTCCAAAGATATCCTGAAACAATAGCTCTGACTAGTATTTATCTCAATAGGATTTTAATTCTGAATTGACTATAAATGACAGTTCAATGTCAGTATTTATTCCACTCACATGTATCAACTTTCCTATAACTGCCTCCTTCAACAGAACATAATTAAAGAACATAAGGAGTAAGTGGTGTGCAGTTTATAAAATACTTTGTGATTCTTCAGAATGAAGATGCCCAAATGTTATGTGTGAGAGATCATCATTATTGATGCTTTATGACACATGAAAGAGAGGTGAATAATAAAGGCAAGCATATTTTAAGATATGTTCTGAAACACTGGGATAAAGTTTGCATGTAAAACTTGATATCACAGAGTTGGAGCAAATCATTAAGTCAGTATTCAACACTGTCTAGATCCATGTATCACCTCCCCAACTTTAATATCTGTGCACCTCTATTATCAATGGGAATTTTGTCACAGGTGGAATGAGTAATGACTGTGCAGTGTGGTCCATTGAGAATTAAGAGATAAATATATAACATTTTCCAGAAATTTTCCAGAAATACAAACACTAACTCTGTGCGAGAATGGGCTTCTATTTGTATTTGAGGACTTCAAGATAACATAGAAATAGTTTCTCTCTTGTTTATTTATGTGAGTTTATAGAGTATTAATAGAGTATTAATAGTCTATCAAGTCATTAAAAAAGAGGCATCCAGGGTGATGAGAATTCTGAACAATCATTCTATGAAAACAACCTCAAAGGCTCAGAGCAGCCTATCTTCCTTACCAGTATAACATCGTAGCTCATAGCATCTTTAATGCAATCAGTATCCCACAATACTTCATACAAGCAAATACTACAAAGTAGCCTGTGGCATCCTGTACAGAGTACAGTGATATGAAGAGACTATGCAGTGAAAAACAGAAAGTACCTAGTCATGGGGCCAGCTGTAAGTCATGTTGACTACTGAATCTCGTATTTGCTGAGGGTCACTTGAACATGCTGTATGACTCTTCTTGTATCAGCATGCACATGTGCTTAATGAATAGACTCATTGTGCATGCAGCCTTTGTATCATGGAAAGGAATATTCAGAACAAGTTTTCATTGTATTGTAAGATCCCATTATTCCAGCTATCCCAGCTCATTATTCAGTCCAGTTAGGCTGCTACTGTACAGCCTGACATTACAAAGAACAAAGGTGAAATCTGTTCTCAGAATTATGCCAGTAGTCACCTGGGGAAAGAAAACTTCAGAGCTCTACCCAGGTGGTAAGGAACAAAGAAACCAGATACTGTTTAATGTTCAAGCACAAATGTGAGCATTTATGTCTCTAGAACATAATTATATCAAATAATAGCAAACACAAATCTTCACAGTAAAAAACAGGGTACAATCCCAGACACCAGTTCATTTATAGGAATTATCCAAGTTTGCTGCCAGATTTTGATAGAATTTAGTAAGTATTAGAGCAATTTAAATAAAAATACCAATAGGAAATATTAATAATTCATATGGGTTTATTTTCAGCTTCATTTGAAGAATTAGGCAGGTAAACTCCCATAACATAGCATACTTTGATATCACATACTATCGAATTATATTGTTTGGAACATATAACCTAACAGTCAAGATTTATTACAATGATACAGCAATTCAAATATTAGCTTATGAAAGCAATGAGAGACTAAGGAGATATTACATTGTTATAGGGGGTTACAGATGTGTATCCTCATAAAAGTAACCTTCTGCTAAAATAATTTCAGTAAAAATAGATGTAACATCATAGCCACAATCATCCCTGTCTACTCAGATCTAAAGGAGCTAGGGAGCCAAGGAGGCAGCCCACTCATTTCAATGCAGGAGACGCTGATCCTAGGACAAGATTGTACATCTAACAAACTATTGGGCACAATGGGTAAAGAGAGATGCCTGGGCTACAGTCCCTGTTCTCAGGATTATTACTGGTTGAATCCAGTGACTGTCTAATGTAAAATGTGTCAGTGAATCAGGGAACAGAACCAGTCTCCCCCATCCCAGTATTAGGCTACAGAGGACACCAGGCTCAATCTTTCCTGCTTTTCTTCCAGTCCTGTGGGTCTTGCAGTCTTGGCAGCCCTTGTGTTCTAGCCTCAGCGGGAGAGGTGAGGCCACTGACATGTGTATTGAGCAGTCACACAAAAGGAAGTGACATCTCCCACATCAGCAGTGAACTCCCAGCTGCTCTGGTCTCCCCACTGCAGGAGTTGGAGCCAGAGCTGGAACAGGGAAGATATAAACAGGAGCAGGGACAGGGGTGGGAGGATGAGGCATCTCTAGCTTCATTGCAGCAGCCCCCTTAGGCAGTGCCTAGGGCTTGTGCCCTGCTCACTCACCACTGTTTACGCTTCTGGTACTAATAGCAAGGTGGTAGCAGCAGCTCAGAGCTCACCTGAGTATTTATTCAGGATCAGGGTCAACACTTTGGGTGTGTTTCTGCAAATAGGGAAGCCCCAGGTTTCCTTGCTTGCAGATGGGTGCGGGGGATTCCAACTCAGGACACACCTCTGCAAACAGGAAAACCGAGGCAGGCGCTCCCAAGGCTTTAGGGGCACACCCTGGGAATTCCCCTGCAGGGGCACACCATTCCCCTGCAGGGAAGTTCCAAGGGCATGCAGGATCGGGGCCCCCCCGGGAGCATCTGTCCGGGGTGACTGGAGAGTGCAGGTAGCTCTAGGTTGCCCGCTGTCTCTTGCCTTAAAACAAACAGACATCTACCACAAAACAGCAGCACAAATTAATACTACCTTTTGTCATCACCAAGAATTTGGGTATTTGTGGCAGAACAAATGGCATGAACATCTGTTTGCTTTCACTTTACGCCGCCATATGAATTTCTGCAGCCTGAGCTGGCTAGCATGGGTATGTCTAGATGAGCTTCTGGCATACCTTGGACTGTAGTGTAAATATGCCCAGAAGCATTGATATATCTAAAGGCTAAAGCTGTAAACCTTTTCTCATTTAAGAATGCTTTACTTCAGGGGTGGGCAATTATTTTGGGTGGAGGGCCGCTTACTGAGTTTTGGCAAGCCATCGAGGGCTGCATGACAGGCAGCCAGGAGCAGATAAATAATAATTTTCTAAATTTTTTAGGGGTCCCGCGGTCCAGATGGAATGGCCTGGCAGGCAACATCTGGCCCCCGGGCCGCATTTTGCCACCCCTGCTTTATTTACTAGAGCAGTGTCAGTGAGATCCATAAAATTATTGCCATGAAAACGGACTATCTGTAGAAGTAACTGTTGCAGGACTAAGCCTCTGTGGTTTGGCTTTAGTGGATCTGAGCTCAGGTTATCCACAAAAGCATGTATGTTTAAATAGGTACATTTATTTTTCATTTTATCATGGGCTAGATTAGGGCTGTCGTACTTTTAAGTAGTTGGGGCCCACCTGGACCACACAAGCAGGGGGGACACACTGCATAGGCAACAACAGCGTGAGCCTCAGGCAGACCCCCAACATTGCCTCCATGCAGCATGTACAGGTAGCCCCACTCTTCAATGCTACACCGCATGCACAGGCAGACCCCGCCCCCCCTCCTCCCCCTGCCACCAGCCTGCTACACTGCACTGCACTGTGGGCTCCTCCAGAACCAATGGCTCCACCTTGCCATGGCACCTTCTGGGGCTGGTGCAGGAAGCAAAAGCCAAAAGGAGCTAAGTGAAGCCCAGAGACCCCAGCTGCTCTTGCAGCCAGAGTAGTGGGGGAAGTGGTGGCTGGGTAGGATCTCAGGGTCCACCAGTTGGACAACCCTAGCTAGATCCTCAAGACCTCACTCAGAGCTAGTGTGTACACTGGTGATCATTTTTTTCGTGCTATAAATAATCTCATTAATTGGAAGGAACCATTTGTGCAAGTGTTTACTGGTAAGATCTGTATACTCTAGCCCTCGGTTTTTACTCAATCAGTAGACCTGATTGAGTCAATAGGAGTTCTGTGTAGGTAAGGAGCGAGTCAAAACATTGGGAATAAATACCAGATGGCCATCTGACCCACTCTGGCCCACATGCCATGTAATACAATTCAGACAGCTCACTGCAGAATTATTTTCCACTTACTGTTGTCTCTGCTTTTCTAGTCAACCACTCGACACCGTCACAGTTTTGATGCAGAACGGGATGCCAAGAAACTACACAAAGCTTGCAAAGGGATGGGTAAGAATGCTCTTGTTTTTAATATAAAGGACAAAACCCCATGGGCCCAAGTACAAGCTTGGAACAAAACAGCTGGCTTGATCTGTCCAGAGCTAATGTTTCAGCTTGCTATGAACTCTAAAGTTCACGTACCCTACCCTCTGTGTATACATGAATATAGATTCATAGATACTCACACAGCATCATACAAATTCAATATAAAACATTTTATAAGCACCGTGCAGTATTAATATGCCCCCTTAAGATGTATACTAGCTATCCATTTAATGTCACTGGTATAGGCAAAGCTGTCCATTTAATATCTATACATAATTCGTCTACATCAGGTTCCTGTCTGACCCAATGATGAAGAAGGAAATCACCAACCAATCAAGACAAATGTTCCTCCCCAGTACTCTGTCCTCCTTACAGGGCCAATCCGAGGAAGTCCTTAGCACTTCCCCTAAGCTTCTGACCACCTCTAGCTTCCACTGAAGTCATCAGACAGAGAAGCCAGTTGGTGTCTCACAGAGTTGGGCTTTAAATCAATCCCTGGTATGTTAAGTGTGGCTTTCACCCAGGGGGTAAGGTGAAGATGGCATTTTTTACTGCAATAGACCCATCAAGTTGCCAATCCCAATAACAGCAGTAGCAGACTGGCTGATCAGGGCAAGCTAAGGAAGCTGGAAAATATGAACTGTTCTGCTGCAATACTGGCATAAGGGGTAGGCTACATTGGCAGCCATCTAAGGACACCTGAATTTGAGGGACACGTCTTCCTTAACCAATCCTCCAAGCAAGACTGCCACACAGAGGACATACCTCCATACCGGCTGGGTGCAGTGACAAAGCACCACCGTGTCTAACAATGCATCTAACCTACTCTTAGGCTTTTAACCAGGAACTATTAAACCTAATCCCATATCCTTGTTCTTTGCTGACATATCTAGACAGCATCCGTATGCAGATGGGAATGAGTCAAATGCTTCTAAATACAGATATTTATCTTTGTTGTTATCATCTATTTATTGTATCTATAGCACCCAGAAGCCCTGTTCAGGACTAGGTTCCCACTGCACTGTGTACTATTCAGGCACAGAATAAAAAGGCAGTCCCTGCCTCAAAGAGCTCACAGGCTGCATTTTAAGAAAAGAGACAACTGGTGGATACAGACAGAGGAGGGACAAGGAAACAATAAGTCACTACTGGCTGGCACAAGTCAGCGAGCTCAGTTCACCTGACACATGATCCTTTTGGTGCCTTGCCGACATTTCACCAATGTCTCCATCTCATCGACTTATGTGCCCTTTACAAATACATTAAACATTTTCCCCTCCAGCTCAAGTTAACGATGACTCATGCAATTGGGTGCAATGATACAATGCGCTGGAGCACATGATTAAAATGATCTCTCTCTAGTGATGTCATTAAAGCTTACATCCCAGATCATTAGCCTGCTGGCTGGAGTGGCACAAACACTGGCTAATGGATGTGAGCATCTTTGTTTAGCACAAACATCTGCTTACAGAGCACAGACAGGGAACCAAGCAGGATGAGGTAACTATTTAGTGAGTTGCCTTTGTGCTGTTTATTGTAGACCTCAAGTTTTCTTTCAATTAGGGAAGGAAAATTAAAAGCACTTGAAAGGGGTGAGACAATCATTTTTCCTAGTGGCTAAATCTTTTAAGGTCATTCTTGTTATCAAGCTGTTCCCAAGAGATCCACTCACCGTTGCTCCAAGGCAATGTCACTGGTATAGGCAAAGCTTTCTGGCAGGTAGGCTGGACATTGATGGTACTCTGACTGTATTAGCAACTTGTAGGATCATAGCGGCAGACAGGAAACGTAAGTAAAAATGACAGATCCTCAGATGCTGCCTCACCACCATGTCACAGCTGTTCCTTTCTATGTCAAAACATTATTGGCTCTTTTCTTGCCATTGTACCTTACTCCCCTCGCTCCTCTCTTCGTATCTGCCTTGCATTTGCCCTTCTCCATTTCTCACCCAACCTTGGTGTGTTGATGATAGTATCCATGCTCACAACCCTCTGGCTCTGACATTGTGAGCCAGGTGTATGGCATATGGCACTGAGGGAACTCGGATACCTACAGAGTTAGAGGGCCACTACATGGAGCTTTTGAGGATCTATATTCTGGATTCAGGTTCTTGGAGTGACAGTCAGGCACTTAAATCCTTTTGTAGGTCTAGCTGTAAAAGAGCAAAGATTAGCACTGCTATAGGCTTGATCCCACTTTCACTGAAGTCAGTGAGCTTTTTGCCACTGACTTAAATAGGTTAACTTCTCACAAGCTATGCTGGGCTGGATCAGACCACTGGTATAATGATAACCGGATTCCAGCAGCAATCAATAACTAGTCCTTCCAAGTAAGCTAATTTCCAAACACAACAGTTAATACACCCAGCTACATCTTCAGTGCCTTACTGGATAAAATTCCTTCCTTATTCTTGAAGGGTTAATCATAGAAAAGTAGGGCTGGAAGGGACCTCTGGAAGTCACCTAGTCCAACCCCACACCTAAAGCAGTCCAACCCCTATCCAAACCATCCATACAAATTGTTGTCTAACCTATTACTAAGACTGCACAGTCAAGCTTGTCATATAGACACACAACATAGCCCTCTAACCTGCCAGAGGAAAAGCAGGCAGCCGGTGGCAGCCAGTATCCTGCTACTGTAAGGGTTGTTTTACCCTGAAACATGAGATCTGTGCCCAGGAGTGTAACTGAGACAGACAGCATCCCTGGGCACTACCTTTGGGGGGGACCATGCAAAAGCAGCTGCTGCCGCCCTGGCAATTGACCCGGCTGCTGGAATCAGCACAGCAGGAGCTGGCACTGCCCCATGCTGCCCTTCTATGCCTTTGTCTGCACCTCTTCATAATAGTTGAGCTTTAAGTAGCGTTGGCACTTCCACTTCATGTTCTGAACACTGGAACTGTTTGTAAAATAAGATTAACTGTTGTAACTGTTAGGCACTAGAAGAAGCTATTGTCAACACGAGCAGACTTTCCAAAGTAAATGTTCTTCTAATTAGAAGAGATGGTGTTTGGCCTTCTTTTCTTCCGTCTGCAGGAATGAAATCTGAGAGATTTCTTTGTTTGCATTAACTTTTTTTTTCTTTTTCTTTTTAGGAACAGACGAAAAGACAATTATTGAAATTCTGTCCAGTCGATCATCAGAGCAGAGGCAACAAGTGAAAGAGAAGTACAAAACCATATATAGCAAGGTATTTCGCAGTCAGTCGTGGGCTGCCTAGCCTAGAAGGTACATGGGGCTAGCATAGGTAAGACCCACCATCTCCTGTAGCCAATGGGACAGCAGGGAGGTGGACAGTATTGCCATCCATCCACCTGTGGCCCTTCAATCCAACCAATCAGATAACTATTTACAACTGGGCTATTTAGGAACAGCCTTCAGCTGTTCTTGGGGAGGCTCAAGCCCACACTTCAAGGGGCTCAATTGTTGCTGCCATGGCTCATTTTGAACCCGGTGCTCTGGGTTCAGAAATGTGCCTCTACATTTCACCCCTTTGGATAATTCTATATGTACAGCAACTCATAAAGGTACAGAATTAAGGAGTTAATTTCTGACTCTGTAATCATTTCAAATTAATCATCTTGGGCCTCATAGACTGCTTGGTTAATGGAAATTGGCCTTTACCAATTTAAAACATTTTATCTAAAATTCAGCAGAGCCTGAATGCATGAAACAGAGAGTAAAAAATGCACTGAAAGTAGGAATGGAAATTCCCTTCAGAAATCCCTTTGAGACCAACGCAGATTCATAAAGACTTCTTTGATCTCATTTATGCCAATTTTACCCTGGTGTAATTGTATTAATTTAAATTGATGGAGTTCTGATTTACATCAGTGCAAAATTTGGATTCCAAATACAGTTCAAAACGTCAGAAGTTTGTTTTGGTACTTGGGTGCTGAAGGGAAAGACTAGCTGCCTGAGGAATTTAGAGATAAGAAAGATACTTTAGGGACACACCACTCTCAAAACACTACTTTAGGGAAAGGACTGAATTCTGCTGGCCTTAAATTAGTGGTCAATTAAGGTCCACCTGCAGATCAAGTCATTAATCAATGTCAGGAAGGGTGGGAGCACTGGGCCCCAAAATCCACCTACAGGCCAAAGCTGAAGGCAGTAAAAATTTTGCCTAAGGACAAGAAAAAATGTTCCATATTTAAAGCATTTTCCACAGATTCTGAAATTATCAGATCATGACACATCACAGTTATGACAGAAATTCATGACCAACCCAACATTTGGGGTGTTTGTCACTTTTGGGAGACATCAAACTTGCCTGTACAGCATGAATCTCTTGAGAGATTGTAGCAAGTAGTTTCTGCTCAAGGCATGGAGCTGTACATCTCAGTTTTTCTTTCATTTAACAGCACTTTTACACTGATGTAAGTCTTTTGACTTCAGTAACATGACTGTTGATTTAAGCTGCTGAAAGTGAAAGGGGATTCAAGCCCCATAGATTTAAAAGTACATTTCTTTTTTCTTTGGTCTGAATTTGTGAAAGACTTCCTATAGCACAGGAATCATTCATTGTCAAATTGCTTAAAACAGATCATTAAAGACAACAATAAACATTACTTTTCATTTACCAAAGATCTAAAATTCATAAATAACTTTTTTCCAGGGATTTTTTATATTATGAATCAACAAGAACAAATCAGAAATTTTCCAAATTAAATATTTAACAATCAGAATATGCTGATTTCTCCAAATAAATCATTCTCCATTCCTAGAAACACATTTATTTTGCTAAAAATTTGATTCTCATAAAAAAATTGTAAAGTATTTTGATAGAATCAAAACATTCTATTTTGGCCTTTTCAGAGCAAAATCGTTCAGTTCTTTTGCATCAAAATGATTTTTTCCTTTCACTTTTTGACTATATTGCATAATATAAAAAATGTCAGATTTGAAAAGGAATGTCTTTGCTGCCTTTAAATAAATCATTTCAATCAACCCGAAGAATAATTTGGAAGGATTTAATTTTACAAGATTTTTTTTTAATGGTTTTGCTCCATTTCAGAAGAGAACATCCTTTGTGAAATTTTCTGCAGAAGCAAAAATGCATCTACCCCCTCAGCTCTGGAACTAACCCCTCTGGCTCTGTTCTTAGGATTTGGAAGAGGTGCTGAAAGGAGAACTCAGTGGGAATTTTGAAAAGACTGCATTGGCTCTGTTAGGTCGTCCTTGTGAATACGAAGCCCAAGAGCTTCAGAAAGCAATGAAAGGTGGCGGCACTGATGAGTCACTACTGATCGAGATTCTCTGCACAAGGACCAATCAGGTTGGTGAATTTCCCACCACTGTTATATGTCAGCTCAAGCACATCAGTTTGTGTACATCACCATCACCCTCTAGAGGATGATATGTCATACCTGAAAAGCATGGGGGTGCATTTCTTGCTAGTGGCTGCAGCCCAAAGGAGTCTCTCATACACATGTCAACAACATTGTTCTTCAGGAAATGGCATCAAATACAATGTAGTTAGATAAAGAATATTGCAGTGCAAAAGTAGTATTCCTTCACTATCTTCATTATCTTCTAATGCAGAGATAGTAATCTGTGGTGCATGTGCCACAAGTAGCATTGGCAACAGCACATGGTGGGACAGGCAGCACACAGGGCAGGAAATAGTGCCCTATGTGGCAGATAGGGAAGGAAACAGAGAGCAACACAGCATGCGGGGTAGGAAATGCAGAGCAAGGAACGGAAAGCATAGACAGAGGAAGACGATAAAAGTGACACTCAGGGGAGGGGGCTAATTTGTGGCACATCAGCCAAGA